CAATATCACCAGGGAGTGAGTCAAATCTATAATGTGAGAAATTCTATAGAACAAATGATGTGAATTATTCAACAATTAAATGGCATACACAAAATATTTTTTAGTGTTTTATGCCACTTCTGATTAAAAATAAGGCTCTTTGAGAAATAACAGAATTCAAGTCTGGAGTAGGAAATGTACAAGATGAACATTTGAGTCTCTTTTGAGATTCAGAAACATAGCAATGTCAACCTTGGATCCTAATGTGAACACACGGAACTTGCAAAAGACATTTTTGAGTCAGGGAAAATAGGATGCAGACTGGCTACCTGCTGATATTTAAAAATTATCAATTTTGTTACACATCATAATATTGTGAATGGCTGAAAACATCTACGTTCAAAATACAGTTTGAAGTATTTATGAGTAAAATTATAATTTTTAGGGTTGGCTTTATTTAAAAAAAGAGGGAGGATGATAGATGAATAATATGGAAGAAAGTTTATGAATTTTGAAGCTGGTGGTGGTGAGAATTCCCAGGATTCATAGGACAATTCTGTACATTTTTTATATCTGAAATGTTTAGAAGGAAGCAATTTTAAGAACTAGAGTATGCTATGTACTCACCAGCCCTCACAAGTTTAATATGTACTTATTAAAATTGTCATATTTCTTCCCAAACTGGTTTATGTCCTTTGGACTTATCATTATAATTTATAATATAATCTATTTAAATATGATAAATGATGCAATATAAGTATGTAAAATTTTTTTTTTCTACAAAACCAAATTGGATATTTTAGAAAGTTGATTTTTTTTTAAAGCAAGTGAGATCTGGACAAGGCAAATATGAAAGATTTGACAAAAAAATCATGAAGACCTAGAAGGATTTTGTACTGAAATCTCTTTAGAAGTGCTTGAATTTCCTAGTTCATCTTAAATAAACATGCCTGGAAACTTTCAATGAGATATTGCGTATAAGACTTGGGCAAGAAAGAAAATGAGGAACTTGAAGAAATCCCTTTTAAAGGATTGGTGATCAATGATATTTGGATTTCATTCCTAAATGAAGAGTTAGGAAATAATTATGCACATATGCAGAAGCTTGATAATAAAACAGATAGTCTGCTCATTGTGGGAAACGGGGAGATAGTTGCTAAGAGCCAAGTATATGATGCATGGCATTTTTGGTCGAAAGGTGACGCCAGCTAGCCATTGAGATGATATGATTATGTTAAGATTTGCATTCATATGGATATTAGACTCCTGCTGTTCACCTAGGCCGGCTATGGGACTCCTGGAGAGTTCCCATTGGTTGGGGAAGTACAGTAGGAGGGAGTTCCGGGGGAGGAGCTCTCTGCGGGTCCGAGAGGAGGCCGCGTGGGTGGAAGAAAAAATTCTTCCTGGGTGGTACCGGACATTGGCGGCAGTTTCAAAAAATAAACTTTGTTCCTGCTTGAGTGGCTCATGATTTTGTGCCCAGCCAGACTGCGGCAGATAGTACAACTAGAGGGATGAGGTAATTTGTCCTCTAACTCAGGTCACTTTTGAGAGTGAGACAAGGTGCTATTCATAATTATGCCGGGGTAACAGGCATATACTGGGGTGATTACTGAGCAAGCCAGAATGTTTGGTCACCCAGTCTGTGGGACATGGGATAAGAATTCCCAGACGTTTAAACACATGGGGGCACTCGCTGTGCCTAACCAGAAGGAAGTCTAGCAGGGATGGATGCTGGACATCAAGCCCAGGGAGCAAACACCCTGCATGAACACAAGCAGAGAAGTGCCTGTCCAGCAGGTGGTTTAGGTTGGATTTGGGGCTGGGAAGGTGCACCTCTTGTGTGGGATGCTGTCGTCCAGTGGCATGAAAGGAGCAGGGTCACCTCTGTGGCTAAGCACTAGGAGGTGCAAAAGCATGTGCACAAGGACACAAGGAGTCTCAGCTCTTTAGTGCAAGAGCTTTTGTCCCCTGAATTTACTGATCTGTATCCTGTCCTCTTGGGTCCTGTCCCCTGTGCCCCTGTCATCATGGAGCTCTGCTCTTGCAAAGCCAGGAAATAAGACTGGTGTTGGAGCTTTTTATCCTGGATTAGTTCTGAGGTGGGGATTGGTGAGCCATTCTCTCTCCCCCAAGCCCTGGGGCTTTTCAAATGCTGGTTTTCAGCTGCTGTCTCCTAGAGTCCCTGGATTATCTGATTTCATTCCTTTGCAAAGAGGCCAGACACAGAAAATCTCTATATCCAGCTGGGAGAGGGCACTGCTGTTACAGAATCACCCTGAAAATGTCGAGGGAGATACAGACTATCCACGAGTCACCTCCCAGGGCCAGGCTCTGGATTGGAACAGGGGCAGATTTTGTTTGCAGGGAAGGAAGGCAGGGCTACGCAAGAAAAGACAGCAATTTGCTTATTCATTCGCGTATGCACCTACTTCATTCCATAAAGGATCTCAGGGGAAAGCCTTCTTTTGAGATGGGACTTGATCACACAGGCAGATGTAGGCCAGCTGCTAATGACACCAGAAAGCCGCAGATGATGACTCATACTCCAGCTATACCAGGACCCAAACTTCTTGTAACAGAAGCAAGTTTTATAATGATGGTGTGTTGCACAGCCTAGCAGAGACTCCTGGTGGGGTCCAGAAGGGTCCAGAAGGGTGGACGAGCTGGCTGTCCCAAGTGTATGGGGGAGCCTGGGATGGCATTACTGCCACATACAGCCAGAGTGTCAGGTGTGGCTGGGAGGCCCAAGCAGGACTCCTAAAGCTCAAAGTTTTGGAAATAAGCAACATGATTATGTATTTGGAATAACGAGTGCACAGCTGAAAGGGCTACTGCCCACCAGCTCTGGTGACAGAGACTGAGGTGGCAATTTCTAGGCTAGTGGTTTATTTCTTTCTTTCTAAATCTGTGATTGTTAGCCTACGTGGTGCTGGACTTCCATGGTGTCAGGTGCTCTTGGCAGGCTCTGTGTGGGTTGTGGTCAAGAGGATGATAAACTGATGCTGTGGTTCTGGTCAATTAGTTGCTCGGCTACCTTGTCGCGGTGGGTAGAGACGCAGAATCAACACACAGACTCTGGGAGCTGGTGAGAGAACTGTCTGGAGACCCACCTCAGGCTGTCGTCCAGTAGCTCAGTTTATTTTGGGAATGCATATTATTGTTATAGGGTTCGAGTGGGACGTGCCTGTCAATCATACACAAGCACGATAGTATCCATAAGCCAATCATCTTAGCCTAATGTAACCACATTATGAGGATGTTCTAAATATTGCTATCATCAGGAAGGGTCTTTGTCCCTAGGGGAGGGGGTATCTAAATTAGGAGTTCCATGTCGAAGCTCCTGGCTATCAGTTTCCTGGCCTGGCATCTTGGCACCGCTAACCACAAGTGAGGTTTCACTAAGGGCCCTCTAGAGTGAGCACCCCATCCTGCAGGTGTTCCTATCAGGCCTGAAGGAATATAGATTCTTCAAGCATCCGAGCTGCTCAGAGCTGCTAGCTGCTAGCTATAAACTGAAAGTTATTCCAACAAACTGAGATCATGCACAAGTCAACAAAGAGCCTGGAACTTGATTAGACACTGAATAGATTCATTTAAGTCTTACTTATTATTATTTATCCCATGATTGGGGCCCAATTGGCCACTTTCTCTCCTCCCCCTGCTCACTTTCATCTACTCTATTGGTCTTCCTTCTATTTATTTTTTATTGGTGCATTACAGTTAGATATAAAATTGGAGTGCACTGTGATATAGTCATACAGGCACATAAATGACATAGCTTGGTCACCTTCATTTCCCGGTTCTTCTCCTTCCTCCTCCCTCCCTCTTGGTCCCCTGATTGTACTCCACTGATCTTCCTTGCATTATTTTTTTCTAATATCTGATGACAAATCTGTGAACAAGAATGAAATAGATCTTATTGTCCTTTCATTATCTGTGCCTGAGATATTTAGAAATCCGTTGACCCACAGCACTTATGGATTTGGAGTATTGAACTTCCTTCAATGGGGCACTTAATCAAATTTACCTTTTTAAAAAAATTAACACATAATAATTGCATATATGGGGTATAATTCAATACAAGTTTGCAAAGTGTAATGACCAAATCAGGTTGATTAACATTTCTACTTTTTTAGACATCTTTCATTTCTTTGTGTTGGAAACTTCAAACTCCTTCCTTCTAGTTCTTTATAAAATCATCATAATAATAATGGGGCTGGGGTTGTGGCTTAGCGGTAGAGCACTTGCCTTGCACATGTGAGGCCCTGGGTTTGATCCTCAGCACCACATAAGTAAATAAACAAATAAATAAAACAAAATAAAAGTAAAACAACAACAACAACAACACATAGTAAGGCTGGGGCTGGGGCTCAGTGGTAGAGCGCTCGCCTAGCATGCGTGAGGCACTAGGTTTGACCTCAGCACCACGCACACAGAAAACTAAAGAAACAAAATAAGGGTACTGTGTCCATCTAAAATACATAATAAATTGTTGTGAACTATATTGACCCCACTGTGCTATGAACAGTAGAGTTTATCCCTCCTATCTACCGTATTTTGTGATTCTTTGTCTCCAACTCATCATCCTTCAATCTCCACTCCCCTCTCCCCTTCCTCTAAGTGACCACTACTCTTTCTTCTTACATGAGATCAAACTTTTTAGCTTCCACATGTGAATAAGGACATGTGGTGTTTTTCTTTCTGTGCCTGGTTTATTTTACTTTATGTAATGTCCTCCAATTTGCAGCAAATGGCAGGATTTCATTATTTTTTATGGCTGAATAATATTCGAGTGCAAAAATATATACCACATTTTCTTAATTCACTCACTCATGATAGACACTATGGTTCACTTCATATCTTGGCTTTCAAGCTTACCTTCGAAACCTCATAAATTCTTGACTCCATATTCATGAAGTTTCAGCAACAGTTACTCCTTTCCAGTGTCTCTGGCTTACGTGCCTGTGGGTCCTCAGAACCTGGTTCAGCCAGCCCTCCTCCCCTCTTATCTCCTGCAGAAAGTAGCTTCAAAGAAATACTCGCAGTTCAGTGCCGATGTGGCCGAGGCCATCGCCTTCTTCGACTCCATCATTGCAGAGCTGGATACAGAGAGGGGACCCCGGGTGGCCGAGGCTGACCTGCTGAATGAAGACGTGGATTTTGATGGTGTGTGCTGGGGAAGGGACCTTAACCCAGTGGCTGAAAGTGCGTGGAGATGTGAGTGGGATTCTGGGATAAGCAATGGGGTCCCCCCTTCTGATTAAAGGGAACCCCTCTCCCTGCCAGCTCCTGAGCTTGTTATCTCTGGGGACCTGGCTGTCCCTGCTGCAACCACCCCAGCCTCCAGCCAGCACTCTGAGGCCCTGTGGCCCACGGAGCTGAGACAGGGTCAAGCTTTCCTAAGAGAAGAAAAGTGACAAGGAGCAGAACTAATGGGGGAAGGGTGTGTAGAGAGTTCCTGTTTAGTGACATGAAAAAGTTCTGGAGATTGCTTATGGGAGTGTATTTAACACTACCCCAATGGCACATTTAAATATGGTGAAGATGGTTTGATGTTACCTACATGTCACCACAATTTTGAAAAGAGAAAGGGCATGGATAAACTATATTTGAAAACCTGGCCTCTGACCCTACCTAAGCTAGGTGGTGGGTGTTGTTGCATGGAACAGGAGAGGCCCAGGAGCCTGCCCAGGCCCAGCCAGTCCCTGGGGCGAAGGAAGGGGAAGGGGTAGGCTTCACCTCCCTCCTCACCATGGTGGATCACTGGGGAGAGCAAAGAATTCTAACAGGTTGAGGAGTTGAGCCTACTTTTACATTCCCAAACTGTCCATTTCTTTAAACTTTGACTTGCCCTTACCCCCACTCTTACCTAGATACTTGGCAACAGCTTCTGGTCCTGATATTAAATAATCTTGGGGGTTTAAACTAATGGCCAAAGGAAGACATGCTTGTGGTTTGTGGTTGCTCTGGTCTCAATAGATGTGCATCTGTGAGATTTGGGTTTTCAAATTGGTCCTGTGACATGTTCCCTATTTCCTGAACTCATCCTACCCTGTGGACAATTTGCTCACCTTCCACATGGATGCAGCCCCACATCTCCCAGCAAACAGAAGCCCTCACCCAGGAGTGGGGACCTGGGAAATGCAGAACATCTGTGGAAGGACGACAGAGTGCACTGAGGGTGCAAGTGTCATCTTCACAATTACAATCTTTTAATGAAAATGTTTTTTGTCACAAAACGACTGTTTTGTCCTGATAAAAATAACCGTCTATGTCAATTGTAACTCCAGTTAATCAAACAACATGCTAAAACATAAAGAAGGTAAAAAAATGTATGACCTCAAACCATCCAGTGACATGACCTTTCACACACACACACACACACACACACACACCAGTTTATTTTATTAACGAAAATAGTATCTTCTTTCATTTAACAGTGTACATTACACTTTGAGCAATAATACAGACCTCTGTCTCTGTGTTTGATGGAGTGAATATTCAGCACCCTGTGCCCTACCCAAAGAGGCAGTCCTCCTTGCTTGGCCACCTGGGCCTTTCTAAGGATCCACTGTCTCTACCCATTCCCAGTGAGCTCTTAGCCCCATCCACCCTCTCCTTTGCCTTCTTCCCCTCTTGACGCCCAGCCCTCCCTTCCAGGTCACCCTCTTCTCTCTTCCAGTGGCCACCAGCTCCCGGGAGCACAGCTTGCATTCCAACTGGATCCTGCGGGCCCCGCGCAGACATTCTGAGGACATTGCTGGACAAGCTGGCCACACCTCAGACAGCCAGTTTCGAAGGAGCATGGAGCGCAGGACCATTGGCACCCAGAGGAGACTGGAGAGGCACCCCATTTACTTGCCCAAGGCTGTGGAAGGGGCATTCAACACCCTGAAATTTAAGCCCAAAGCCCACAAAAAAGAGTAAGTGCTTGGGCTAAGTACTGGAACTAAGACGCTTCTGTGTCCTCTAGACCCTTGGGTGGTTCTTAAGGTGTGTGGAGTGCCCATCCTACGTGCCAAAATTATTCCTGTATATTGTATTTGGGGGGGGGCAGGATTTCTAAAGATTTTTTGATAGTGTCTATTATAGCATGGTCCACCATTGTCTTCTTCTTGGATAGAGCTTCAGCTCTGAATCTCCCTCCCTTTCTCTCTGGCTCATTTAACCCTCATGTTTTGGGCCGTCTTCTTTCATTATTGTTCCCAAGTGCCATTGACACATTGTGCGCTACAGATTTTTAATGAGGGTTTGGGGTTGAATGCAGTAAGAAGTCCACAGTCAGAGACATCTTATGGTATCTCTGTGGGCAATGGCCATCTTGGGCAAACCAATTATAACTTTTCCTTATTTCTCTTGACTTCAATTGCTAGTTAGCTGTGCTCATTCCTGGCTCAGAGATACCTTTGCAGTCTACACTTGTGTTATTTCCATGGAGAAAACATATAAACTATATTTTTAACAGATTATTACTAGAGGTGTTTGAACAAGGTGCTATTGCTCCTTGCAATCCTCTCTGGAACTGAGAATTTGTTGGTTAGAAAAAAGAGTTCAACCCCAGACTCTCCCGGTTCTATCCTGAAGGGCCATCTTACCACCACCTCCCATGTCTCTCCTCCATATCCTCCTGTCCCAGGGACAGTCACCATCACTAGCCCCACACTCCTGGTGCCTGTTCATGCAGGTGTGAGTCTTGTGCTCCTAAGTCTTGGTCTGGCCAACCCAGGCCTTGCTGTGGGCCCTGCCTGTCCAACAGAAGGGCCTATAGAGACTCATCCAGTGGTTTCCTTTGCTTCTACAGAAGTCACCCAATTCTGATGGAATCAGGGCTTCCTAGGTAGCATTTTCCTCTCATAATAATAAACCATGTACAAGACATAGTGAAACCATGACCCAGTCCTCATCACCTGTCCTTCCTTAAGGCCAGGCCAAGGCCCACCTGAGATCCATCCAAAGTTCCCATGATGATACTGCTGGCTCTTCCCCAGAGCCCAGGACGGGGGGGTGGGGGAGCCATCTGATGATCTCCACAGGAATGGTGGTAATCCAGGCTTCCCTTCCCTCTGTGCGGCTGGCCAAGCTGAACTTAAACCCTGTGCCTCATTCCTCCCTTCTAGCCTGGGGAGCTCCAGACAGATCCTCTTCAACTTCTCAGGAGAAGATACGGGATGGGATACGGAGCTCTTTGCACCGGAGCCCATGGCGTCTCCAGGGGAGGACTACTATGAGACAGAGAATCCCAAAGGGCAGTGGCTGCTTCGAGAAAGACTATGGGAGCGGACAGTGCCCTGACCCCACCTGGGCTCCTTGACTTGTCTCAGGCTGAGTCTTTGAGAAGGTGTCTCCTTGCAGTTCAGTGTAAAGTGTTTGTTGGAGTTAAAGATGGAAATTGTGACAAAGTCCAACTCTTCTGCCATTGCTGGCTGGTGCCTAGCTAGTGCCAAATAGACCTGGAGCTCCCCAGAGAACCCACCTCAGGGGATGTGGAGCCTGGGTTTCCCCACCAGGTGGACAAGGGAGCAGGAAGGAAGAGCCTTGCTGGTGTCCCAGAGCAGAAGACACGGAGGACCTTGAGTGGAGTGCCCAGGCTCACTCCCCTGGCCGTGCCTGGCCTGCCCTTCTCCATGTCCATGTGCATGCACACACTCTGTTCAGTACCAGAAATGAGTGCTCCTTTGGAACTCTGGGCCAAAAGTTTCAAGGAGGCAGCTCTTCTTTCTACAGGGCTCAGAAACACCCTGGTTAGGTTCCATAGTTGCCTTCTTTTGTGCAGAATGGAAGTTGAGGATGCAGCCCCTTGTCTCAGAGTTTTCCAGAAATGATTTCTGGATTAAGCAGCAGATGAGGCCAATACCTTGGTGGTAGGGGAAGGGAATGAGCCTGTCAGGGCCCTGCCTTGGGACCCCACTGTCTCCCCCATACCAAAAGATCAGTTCCACTTCCCAAACGCAATTGGCTAGAGAAGGATATGGAATGACTCTTTATCTTTTGTTTTCTAGTTCTCACCCAATAAATCTTTATAAGTACCTATGCGACCAGTTTATGACAGGCTGTATGTCCCCTTGTCCCTAGTTCAGAGGTTAATCAGAACCATAAATTCTTCTGGTCTAGAAAGGATTTCTGTATTTCAGGAACTGAGTTAGGGTTTCCTTTTAAGTGTATTTAATTTTCTTTTATTTCTAACACACATTTTGTATTTTTGCACCTAGCTGTACCCACTTGGGTTTGAGAGCCACTGGTTTGGAAACTGCACTCTATCCATTCTTACTTTCTTCCGATGCTTTCTGGTTCAGCAGGTGCCTGGGGGTCGCATGCCCATGAATGTGTGTGTCCTGGGGGGTTGAGAGAGGGGATAGGGGAGGAGAAACCAATCATCTCAATTCAGCAGGGATACTCCAGATCACTCTGAAAACTGAATAAAGGTTTTCCTTCTGCCAGGCCTGTGTGATACTATTCTTATTGTTCAGTTTTTAAGAAAAAAAAGTTTTTTATTTATGTGAACCTGATTGTCTGAATCTAAGAATTTTTAGCTCCTAAAAGAAGAAGAGGAAGAGGAAGAGGAAGAAGAAGAAGGAGGAGGAGGAGGAGGAGGAGGAGGAGGAGGAGGAGGAGGAGGAGGAGACCAACTAGTAATTCTCTAGATTCTTAGAATATATCAACACATTTTCAGAAAGAAAACATACTGGAAATGCTTTAATACTTCTCTTTATTATTTTTGGAGTGCCAATGCCAATGTTTGGGAGGTTTCTTTCATTTTGTTGCTTATACTAACCCAACTATAGCCAGAAACTTGACTGAAAAATAAATTTGGGGGAGACTTGTTTTATAAACTGCTTTAAAGTACTGTAACGTATCTCCATGGATCATTCTTTTCCCCCAAATGTGGCCTTGTTTGAAGTCTTGTGTTTGAAAGTTCTCTGCTGGGGATAAAGCCAGGATAAAGGTCTCTTTACTCTTTCTTTTATCAAACTACAGTTTATCATAGATCTACCCTAACATTATGTGGTAAAGACACTGTGTACATTTTGCTTTATTGATAAGAAAAAAAAAATAAACAGGACAGAGAGGATGTTTGGAATTATGATTTTTTTCTTTTCTAGCATATTCCTTAGAATATAGAGCTGTGCCTTTTCTATTTGGCTTTATGTTTTGTGTGTTTTTGTTTTCAATGAGACTATACACAGTCTGCCTGAAAAAAATCCCATGGTTTGGAAACATAAGGCTGGCTTGTCCTCTGGGGTGATTTTTGTCTTTGAAGTTGGTATTAAACCCCAGGCTCTGCCTGGGGAATCTGGGACAGTATCATCTGGGGTTAGAGATAAATGGATCTAAAACAATCAGAGTCAATTCAGAAAACCAAGCTGATCTGTTTGATTCTTGTGTCTCTGAGTTGACTAGTTTTTCAGTGGAATCGGCTGGTGGTTGGGGTGTACATTAGCGACTGTAGCTTTCCCTAGACTGTATTAGTTTGGACACATGAAAATTGACCTATCCTTAGACAAAATGTCAAGAAAAGAAGATGGAATCCCCTAGCATCTGGCTTGTTCTTAGTCACTGGTAATTTAGTTCCCACCACAAAGTTTTTTTTGTTTTTGTTTTTTTTTTTTTTTTGTGTGTGTGTGTGTGTGTGTGTGGTGAAGGAATGTGCATGGGGACCATGAGTTTGATCTGAATTGTGTGTACCCATCCTTTTGCCTGGTTGCCAAGCAACTGAGAACATGGCCACCAGGACCTGCATCTTTAGGGACTCTCTGCCTCCATTCAAAGCCTGCTGGGCTTCTTGGTAGACCTCACAGGCCACACTAGGTGCCAAAGCCTGTCTGACCTTCTCTTGGGGGAATTGCTTGTATTTATTTATCTGTTTATTTGTCATTTGACAAAGGATACTGAGCATGTACACCACTCCAGCCCTGTGTCTGGGGTATGGCTGGAGCCTCTCATACAGCCTTCAGTCCACAGTAGAGACAGACATTAAAGAAAGGGTTGTACTGATACATGCAAATCAGAATTATCATATGTGCTATGCAGGAAGACCTCGAAATCACTGAAAACTTGTCCTAGGGAGTGCGAGTTAGTCAGGGTAGGATGGTTTGGGGAGGACTTTCTAGATTCCACATGGCTTCATTTACTCAAAGTTTCCTCTGTTATGGCTCAGAGAGGCCTTTCCTGACTACCCTGTCTCGACCTGCCCTTCATTACCCCCATGCTAGAATTTTCTTCATTGTGTTCACCATGACATAACATGTGAACAAACACACACATATCTATGTGCCCATTTGCCTGTAGGTACCCCATCACACTCTGTCTCCAGTGCCTAGAACCGCACCAACAGTGACTTGTTGAAGGATTGATGCACAAATAGCAGCATGATGAAGTGATTATTATTATGGTTTGGATGTGAGGTATCCCCAAAATCTCAAGTGTGAGACAATGCAAGAAGGTTTGGAGGAGAAATAACTGGGTTGTTGCCTTAACCCAGACAGATAATTAATCCCTGATGAAACTAACTGAATGGTAACTGAAGGCAGGTGTGGTGTGGCTGGAGGAAGTGGGTCATTGGGGGTGGGCTATGGGGTATATATTTTGTATCTGGAGAGTGGAGTTTCTCTCCGCTTCTTGATCGCCACGTGAGCTGCTTCCCTCTGACACACTCTTCCGCCATGTTGTTCTGCCTCACCTGAGCCCTGAGGAACAAAGCCAGCTGTCTATGGACTGAGACCTCTGAAACTGTGAGCCTCCAATAAACTCTCCCTCTTGTACAATTTTTCTGGTTGGGTCTTTTAGTCGCAGCAGTGAAAAAGCTGACTGAAACAATTATGAACTGAGATGTAGGGGAACAGGGACATACAAATGTACAGGGTTCAGGGCCACAGGGAGGGATTAAGGCTGAGGATATACCATGGAAAACCAACCTGGACTGGAGGGCATGTGTCACCTTTGACGGAACCTCAAAGCCATCATTAATTTACTCATAAGGTCTTACTGAGCACCATATACTCTGAGTGCTGTTTTAGGACTGAGGACAGAACAATAAGAGAGCAGAGCTTTTAAATGTGGGGAGAGGGATGTATAAACACTAAGCCACACTAAGGGCACCTTGAGGATGCAGAGATGGATGTGCTGATGAATTCTTGAAGATTCTGAGCAACAGAATACCCAATGCAATTTCATTTTTAAAAGATGGTTCAGGTGTTGGATGGGAATTTGACTGTAAAGGACAGAAGGGAAGGTTGGGAGACCAGCTGGGCAGCTCTGCAGGAGTCCACACAAGAGATGGTGGTGGGTGAGATGAAGGAGGGCGAAATGGAGTGATTAGAGGTGGTTGGATTTAGGATCATCTCTGAAGCAGAACTTACACGTATTCTGGATGTCAGTGGATTCATTATGAAGATTTTGGCTAAGAAACTAGTAATGGAAGTCCCTCTATGGAGCTATGTAACGGAAGGGCTGATCAGGAGGGGCTTGGGATCGAAGGACATCAACAGTTCTGTTTCTTCTGTAGACCTTCCAGGAGAAAGGTCCAATGGGAACTAGACATCTGCACATAGAGCTCAGGGAGTGGTTAGGTTCAGGGGTGTCATCTTGGCAGCCATCGACACAGAGATGGGATCTGAAGCCTTGGGCAGAGGAAGTCAGGAAGGTGCTGAGGGAGACCTAAGAGGCAGGAAGGACCCAACCTTTGGAGGCTAGGCAGAGAAGGAGCAAGGGACGTGCCTGGAGAGGTAATGGGGAGCTCTGAGGTTGGGACCATAGAGCACAGAGAGCTGGAGGGGAGGAGGTGCCGTGGTCCAGCAGGGCTGGCTAGGCATGCTCCAAAACCAGGTGAGGGAGGCGGTTCCCAATTTTGATCAAAATGGGATTGTGCCCAGCGGGGAAAGCTTACCACCCTACTCATGAGACCAGCTCTGGACTGCTTTGGCTGTTTCTGAAGCCCAAGCCTTATTGAGCGCAGGAGGGGAGCCCACAGGTGGCTGAATATCTTTGTGTGATGCCCCTTACCCCAGTGGTCTCTGTCCTGCAATGGTTGGACTTCAGTTCTCCCTCATCCAGTGACTGGGGACCTCCTGTAAACAGGGGCAGATGCCTGAGACTCTCCAGGCCTTATTTTCCCAAATGTGAATCAGGCACAACTGTACTACTTCTCGACTGCTTTGGTGACAGTTAAATGAATTTATACCTGCCCTATAATGAGTGTTAATAATGAGTGTTATGGTTGTAATACAAGAAAGTTGACTGTCTCTCAGTGTTTTAGTCAGCTTTTTTGCTGCTGTGACTAAAAGATCTGACAAGAA